AGCAAAATCCCACTACAACCAGTGTATGCCAACCGAGATGGTAGCAAACAACCCAGTTCTCGAGTCTGAAAAATAGAATAATAGTGGAGAAGAGCAAATTTAAACTATTTTTTGTATTATAGCCTCCTCTATTTCGGGTTGAGTACCCTGAAAACCAAGAGCATCAAGAGTGTGCAGCTCCACGAAGGTAAGACACTTGACGTATGTTAACGCAAGGCCAAGGGAAAAATCGGATGAAATATTAGGAAGATCCATTATTTAACGGTAAAGTGGATAGGAGCGTAAGATTAGATTAATTAAGGTAATTTGTTAATCGAAAAATCGTAGCGGTTGAGTCGATTAAATAGACTAGACCGATTTAGCACAAAGCCACTCCATGATGTAACCCTAATATGGACTACATCAAAAAAGTCATGCATGTCAAATAACGAGCAATACCAGATGTCAATGCCTAAGCATTGGTGAATATTTGAGTAGGTCTGACTTTTTTAAGGCCAAATTCAATTATGTATATATGATAGTTTAGTGCTGAAGGAAAGTTTTACAGCTGTCTCTCAGATGGCTTATAAGGGCCCTCAGTGTCCTGCTAACAGCTTAGCAATCAGGCCCTCATGGCAATGTTGGAACTTAAATAGCGGCATAGATACGGCTTTAAAACTTTGTATCCACGGTTTATTCAAGCATTTCAATACAAATATATATATATATATAATAAAGGAGTTTAAGTCCACCTGGAGCCACCACATTCAGGTCGGTGAGCCACCATTCTGTCCACAAGCTCTCTTCCAGTGCACCTTCTAGAAGGATCCTTGCCTTTTGCCTTTGTCTGGCTTAATGCGACAGAAGATCGGGCCCCGTACTTCCACAATTGGGCAATCGGCGAGGCGCCCGGAGCCGTAGAGGCGCTGTATGTAAAAACAGCCTGATTTCCTGGCAAGCCTGGAACAGGCTCGGAAGGTTTAATCGAGCAGGTGGCACTCAACCATAGCCAGATCTGGATTAACTGACACCACTCTGATCCAGAGAGGCAATGGGATGGGAGAGCAGGATGCAGTTTAATCGCATCCGGTGGGCAGGATTGTTGGTGGCACGTAAGAGGCCTCTGAATTATGCGATCAGAAGGTAGAGTAGTTAGGGGGCAGGATACTGTCGAGCTGACGTCGGGATTAGCAGTGCTTATATGTGGCAATTGAATTCTCTGAGAATCGAACATGTCACAGAGTTGCGTTTGCAAAGATCCAGTAGCTTGGTTGTGGGATAATATTCTTTTTTCGTATAAAGCAAAGTTGCTAGGTAGAGAAGGCCTTTGTTTTGCCTGTCGTCCATGCCAAGTAACAATTGAATGAGCAGGCCCTAGAAAAAAGTTATCAGTTAAGATATGAAATAAAAGTCTCAAGCAACCTACTGGGTTCATTCTCAAGGCTCGATAAGGAGGCGGACGTCAGAGATTTTGAGGCTTTGGATAGATTCAAGGAGAAGTGCAAAGGCTGGAGCCCTTTTCCAGTTTCAAACGAGGCATCTTTGGCACTCGAATCGTCTAAAAAAGTCGTGGAGACAAGAGGAAGTGTCCGCACCTGCTGCCGAGCGAGAACCACAATTCTAGAAGGAACACAATGGTCACTGGATGTTGACTGGATCGAGCTCCAAGGTTGAGTTTCAGGTTCGATTCGAGGGATATCATCATTAAAACCCAGTTGATTATTGTGAAGCATCGTGTCCCTGTAGAAAACATCAGATGTTTTAGCGAGTTGTGGACTAGATCCGCCATGTTGAAATGTAGGCGTGATTGCAGTATCAGTGGCAAAGATGGGCTCAGAGGGAGATGACTGAGGGGTTGCAACAGAATGAAAGACCAGCTGCGGCGATATTGGACGTTTTGATCCAGGGCGTATTTGTTGCTCTTCTTTGGACAAAGAGATCAAGGGGGAATAAGAAGAAAGCATCATGTTGGCACAGTGGTTGCAAGCTCTTTGGTGATCCTGCTGCCCAATATAACTGCCTGGAATAACCTAAAACATGGATTAAAGCATGGCAAAGGGTGGTTGGAGATTAGGCAATCATTAGTTGGAAGGGTGAGAAAGCTTAGATATAAATAATTTTCAGCTATAGTTATAAAGGTATACAAATGCGAATAGGATCTATCTCGAAAATCCAAACTCAGAGCAATCAGGACATAGATTTTCACAAAAGGTTGACAGCAACATGAAAGAAAGCGAGAGTTAAAAGAATGAAAGTAGATAATTAATGCACACCCAGCAACTATAACTATGATGAAAAATAGACGACATTTAAGCCTTTCATTACGCACGCAAAACTGGGCGGAATGGAGTAACACATCAACCCCATCCAAGAGTAAAGGAAGATTTAATTGCAATAATTTTGAGATGGATTTAAATAAGGAGCTGTCCAGCGGTCCTGGTGGATATTTGCCGGAGCAAACACGTACTCTAAAAAGGCATTAACAATCATGATAAGCCGCAATCAAACGACGCTACTGCCTGGTTGGTATCTAAATGCATTAAAGCTGACACCTGCATACGCTTAGAATTATTCTGTCAGCCTAGAATATGATTTTGTCGACCTGATCTTTGGTAGGCAAATAGCGTAACAAGGAAATAAACCATTTATATTATTCGAAGATACGAGACATAGATGGTGTGGCCTCAGGAATGGTCGTACTCTCCTTTCGATGTATAGAGGTGGATTGACCGTTGTCAGGGCGACTTAGTACAACGCACCTAGTCCGAAGTCCGCTGCTATAGTAGTTATTATTCCCAGCATCAGGCAGTGGGCCTGGTACATTCTCAAACGTTTCGCTGGCATCTTAGTCGGCATCATCAGTGAGTGCTGCCATTCTCCGCACCAAGTTACCAACTCGTCAGAGACAAGTGGAGTCAATCCCTCGACAAAGGTTCTGCCGAAAACGGTTACTCTTTACCCTGTTATCACAATTTCTCACTTGTTTACACAACACTCGTCAAAATGTGTGCCCTTTTGTGAGAAATATAGTGTGGCCTCTTCACATCTGCTATTCACCCCGACCGCTCCTCTTTCTATCGGCTAATCCGACTCAGGCCTCCAATCCGGATGCGCCTCGTGGTCCCGTAGATGGATTCCTTATCTTTCTGGTTGACCGATTTCATTCAGTTCCAGTCACACTGTGCGATTCACTACAGGCGCGTATACTGCCGCTTCACCAAACAGAGCGCCTAGGCTCTGATTCCCATGCTTGCAGATATCGGGCATTGCCTTCACGGGTCGTCTGCCTGATTAAG